GTGTGTATATATATATATATATATATAGAGAGAGAGAGAGAGGAGAAAATTAATACTTAAACAGTCCCGTAATATAAAATAAAATCAAAAGGGAGGACTTAATGTATTATATAAATATAAAGAATTAAGTAGTGTTTGCTGAAAGTTTCCAATAAGTATTATTAGTTGATAATAAGATCATTTAAACAACTTGGCACTACTTTTATGCAGATGAACACCTTATCACATATAAAGACTTGTGTAAAGTCTGAAAATGGGTAGTTACAGTGGAATTAATGGATGGTGGTTGGGAGTTATACTAGTATAATTTATCTACTGTACTATTAATTAAGTTAAATTAGTGATTTACTACTATAATGGGGGCTTGAACGTCAACATCACCAGGTAAGTTTATCTTACTTACAGCCAGTAGTAGAACCTTATTTTTGTTTTTTAATTCTATTTTATTATTTTGAAGAGCAGTCACTTTCCCACAACTGTCTAGAAGCAATTATTGTGTTTTGGCACTTGTGTATAAAGTTAAAATCATAAATAATATTCAATGTTAAAATTGGTACACAATTAAAAAGATTTTATTTAGGCCTATCTCTGGCCTTCAAAAAGTTGACGACTCTACATGTTTCGACATTGCAGCATCATCCTTAGGAGTGAATTACAAGACAATGCTAAAGTATGTATAACTTTTTATATTTGAAAGGTTTAACATGAATTTATGTAAAATAGCATACAGGTCACATGACCTACATGGGCCATATTCCAGCCTGTACAATTTTCTCTAGCAGGTGAAGCAACCAAACTGCCAGAGATATTGAGAGATGGCAAACTTGATGAGACAACATCCAAAGAAGTCTCTGCTCCTCCAATGAAAACCCAGAATAAAAAGTATGAACTAACTGATGAATCCAACCTGTCAAAGTGACAGGGGATAAGACATGTAACACCTTAGGATCCCAATGGAGAAACCAAAGGTGAAATGAACCTTGAAACCCTTTTGTGCACTCAATATAACATATGAGAGCCTGAACCAGGCAAAAAAGAGTATCTGGATCTGAACTGTCATAAAAATGAGAAATGGAGGGAAGATGAATAGGAGAGAAAGCCTTATCCTCTTGTCTAGTCCCTGAAGGTTTGGTTAGAAAGGAGCTATCTGGATACAACAGAACATAGGTGGAATGGGAAAAGATGAACATAAATTGGAAACACATCCAAACATCGACATCCACTAGCCAACAACAGAAACAAACAAGTCTTATGAGAAAGGTATTATCGGAACACAATGCCAAAGGTTCAAAGGGTGGACTAGATAAGTCATGGAGAATTACTGTGATATCCCAATTAGGAAACTGGAAAGGGTGCGAAGATGGATAACCTGAAAAGACTTCAGAAGCAAGGACAAAGCAGGGACTCAAAAACTTTACGTCTCCCAGAAAAAAGAAAAGTAGCTGACAAAACTGCCTTATATAGAGAAACGGACAAATGCATCAAACCTTTGTTGAATAACTATGTCAGAAATTGAGAAACATCGGCACATTTGGACGAGGAGGATTAAAACCATATCTGAAACCCCTTTCCATTAATAAACATCCAATGAGAATTGCCAAATGGATTGCATCAATAAAGATGCCATCTGAGAGGTCAATCCCCAACATCATATAACAGACTGCATTAAAATTAGGTTAGAAAATGGATAATGGTGATTGCCCAATGAAAAATGTTTGACCTAGGCTAACATAAGAGATACGGCAAGAGAAAAAGACGAAGAAACCTGAAGATACTGAAGGAATGGAAACCAAGTGCCCCATCCATAGAGAGAAGCATCCATGAAAAGATGTATCTCTGGACATGGAGGCAGGAGAGGGACACTTATTGTTGTGTTGTCCCTGGCTAACCACTAGCCAATATCAAGCAGGCTGGAAGCTGATAGGGTGACCAGAAAATCCAACACATCTGTGCAAATGTTTCAGTGGTCCCAAAATGACCACTTACCCTTTTAGAATCAGCTGTCAGGTTTCTTGGCAGCTAACATCACTTGTCTTGTTTCAATCTCAAATTAAACACATTTTTGTTACATTGTAGGCTGGGAACCGAGATTTTGAAAGTTTGCTTTTTAGGGTTGGACTTGGCCATTTTATAACTTTAATTGGAAGTTCAGATTTCCTGATTATAATTTTTATTTTCTTGGAGAGGTGTTACAAAAATAATCTTTCTTGTGTTATCTTTAGAAAATTGTTTTTTCCTCCTTGTTTATCTGTGTTTTTTTATGATGGAAGAGCAATGCTGATGTTTGCACATCATAGTCCTGTAAAATTTGTTTGATGTAAAAAGGTGGATATTCATTGCTCAGAAGTGATTTTAGTTCAAAGCATGTATTGTTCTTGTCATTACAGTTGTGATCAATTTGGTTTAATTCTCCAATAA